AAAACTGAGATTTAAATTAAAAAGGACATTTTTTGTGATGTCATCATTTTTTTTTTAAATTCCTTTTTTGTTTTATTTCTATTTTATTTAGTTTTTTTTTCTCTGTTTAAATAAAGTTGAGGAAGACAAGAATGAAAATAGAATAAAACTCGAAACGAGATATAAAATGGTTTAAAGAGTCCCCAAACTACAATTTGTTTCGCTAATTGTTAAACGATGCAACAGGATATTCAACATTTTTTTTGTTTTATTTTTATGGACATACTATGTATATATAAAGGCATACATCTTTTTTTTTTGCAAGTTCTAAACGTTTAGTTGTTCTTTAGTTTGCAAGATTTGTGCTCTTATACTTTTAAAAGTGAATATAAGTGAACAGATTTTTGAACAACTTTTTGATAGTTTGCACAGCTCAATTTTAAAACAAGGATAACGACATAAAATTTTTCAGGAAATTCTTCTAAAGTTTGCAAAATAATATTAATGATGTTTAAATTTGTAAAATCCCAGAATCTAGCAATTTTAAAAGCATTTTTTAATTTTATTTAAATTAATTTGCTTGCAAAAAAAAACTTTTATCAAAGAAAATCAATTGCCGAAAATAATTTATATAATTCATATACCAGATAAGCGGCTCCAACTTGCGCATAACTTTCCGATTTTGATTACAAAACGAATAACGGTTTTCGAATTAAAGTTTTTTTGTTGCAAGGTTTTAGAGTTTTTGCGAAGAAACAAGCAACCTCAAAAATTTTTCGAAAGATTTAAAGAAAATTTTCTTAAATCTTAAATATTACAAGGGAGTCTACTACGCCAACCTCTCTAATTTTAAGAATTATTATTCTCAATTACACTATCGTACGTGACAAGCGCCATTGGCATACTATATTTTTGTGGTTCCTAATTGGAATTTACAATTCGCCATAACATTTACATTGTCTCAATTTGATCAAAATCCTAATTATAAAAGAAATTTATATGCTATGAATTTTTCAAATTTTCTGTGACAGAAATCTACTTTACACACTACTGAAATTTTATGATTTATGAATAAATTTTAGATGAGCCACCATGCTAGGGGAACACTATACACCCGCAGCAATTAATTCTTATCTTGTGTAACAGATTCAATCCTGGATATATTACAAATACGCTAAATCGCCTGACTAATTTAGGCATAATATACATGATTAGGTAAAAAGCCTTCATGATAAGGTTTTCTTATATACACTCTTATTTTTAATACAATAAAATTTTTTATATAGCAACTGTTGGTATTATTTTTGAACTACTGAAAATATCAAAAATTTTTTTAAATCAAAATTTTGATTAATTTTAACTTCAAAGTTAAGTATACATAACACCCATAATTATTTTAAAATTAAAATAACTCAATTTTCTATATATACTAACATTTTCTTCCCATATTTTTATTTTAACCGTTGAATGCACACAATTTATTTACATAATAACAATCTACTTTTGAATTGAATGGCATATAATTTTCTTACAATTTTAACAACTAATAATAATTATACAAATATATAGACATGAATTTTTATAACAATATGCTTATACAGGATATTGACATAATTAATCACCTGTCTATACTCACTAATTAATTATTACATATAAATGCAAGTAATCTTTATGAATAAAAATCATTTAAAATCTATTTATTCTAATATAAATAATGTTAATAAACTGCTTAAATATATATTTTACTATAAAATTTTTTATTGCTTCGTACAACGCATATTGAATCGAAGGAATATTGCATTTACTGCTTACATTGTACAGTATGAAGCTGTCATACAATAATAAAATCCTAGAAAAACCAAAATTACAAACCCAAAAACAACTATACATAAAAATTCCCAGCAACTTTATTAAAAATTTTCGAATAACAAAAAAAAACTGTTAGAAATTCTAAAATAAACATTGGCATAAGGTCAAATAATGAAATGTAAAATTCTATTTATAAGGAAAACATTATGTAAATAATGAGTGTGTATTGCGTATAACAATAACAATAGCAGTTATGTTATAAAATGTAAAAATTTCGGCGGTTGTACACTTTCTATATTTTTTTTTTATAATAAAATTTTCAAAATAAATTTGGTCCTTGTTTCATACCTAGATACGTTTATACAAAATATCCTTGATTTACTTTTTTTTTTCTATTCCGTTTTTCGTACACTTGCATTCTTATACAAACATAATATAACACACGTCACATAGTAAATATAATATACAGTTAACATATTGTAAAATGGCGTTATTATAAAATAAAATAACGGTGCGTATAACTTTTAGAATTTTGTTTTTCATATATAATACGCCCCTGCACTGCAAAAACAAATATAATTTGAACACCGTTATTATCGTTTATTTATTTAATTCTATTATAACTGTTATTGATTATAAATTCTAAACTGAAAATTGTTAGCTGTAAACCAATGGAATGAAAAATGAAAAATGACAAAAATAACAATAACGGTTAGCCTAACAGAAAAAAAAAATGAGTTTTTCATTTTCTATTTTTTTTTTTTGCTGCCTGTCTTTTGTCTATTTTTATTTTACTTTTCTTTTTGTTTGGTATTGTACTTTTGATATGTGTGTATATATATAACGACCCAAAAATACACTAAATTATGACCAAATAATCTAGAAAATCTATCGGTCGATGCCTACAATTTTCTTGTTTTTGTTTTTCCTTGTTTTTGTTTTTCTTTTACATTTATGTATTGTAGCTTAGTTCATCATAACATTTGCTTATTCTATATGTACACATATGGTAATAACGGTAAATGTTGTGAATTGACATAAGTCAAAATTATTGGATTTTGGATTTTTATTATAATTCATGTAGGTGCGGGATTAAGTAGACGTTTTGCTTTTTTTTGATTTTTATAATATGTCACAGCTCTTAAAAGCACTTTTAAAAAAAAAATAGTTTCGGTAGTATAGACAATTTACCTGTAATTTTTTTAATTACTTAAAATTTCCATATAAAATCAAAGTCGGGGCTGTTATAATCAGTCACAAAATGAAATCACTCACAAAATGTTTAATATGAGTGTAAAATTTTCCCAAAATGGGATCAAGTAAATATTAACTCAAAATTATTCAAGTGAAATTTTAAAATAAAAATTTTGATTTTACAAATTAGGACTAAAAGCTTTTAATGAGAGTATTAAGAATTTCTTCAATTTTGCCATTGCAAAATAAAAGCAAATTGCTGCTATGCCGTAAAAATTCTCAATATTATAACAAAAATATAATTTGATTTCTTTTCAACAAGAATTTCAATTTTCACCTAGTTATGAATTTATTTTTTAAAAATTACCTTTCTTTTAGTTACACCAACTTTCAATTACAATCCATACACACACAATTATTTATTTAAAGGGAAAGCACAGTTCAAATATAAAAAAAAAAACACGAAAAGAGAAGAAAAGGAAACAAAAACTCAATAACAATATTGAGACAGTTCGACCATTGTCCAAAATAATAAAGTACAGCAAATAGCAACAACAAAATGAAAACAAAAAAAAAAACAAAAATAACATATTATACCGTTATTGTTCATATTTTTTTATGTATCGAAAGATACAATCAGCAAATAAACAACTTTATCAACCGTTATAGATACTTTTATTATCATAACGGTTAAAACATGTAAGCATATACACAAATAAATATAATATTTAAGTATGATATACCGTATATTTGCTTAAAGGATTACAATATACACCACAATTATATATACCAATACGAATTGTATGCATACATACACATAAATTTATGTAAACATTTAAAAGGATATTTAAAGGATATTTGCTTTTTTTTATTTTTGTTTTGTTGTTTTTTTTTTGATATGTTAAAATAAACAAATCATAAATAAAAATATTTGGTTAAAAAATATGGAAAAAAAGGGAAAGTTATTTTGCGTAAATATGAAAAAAAACACAATATAAAAAAAACAATGTCAAAAATAATAGAAATGACAACTTTGGGAACTGACACTGACACTGAGAATTAAAGCATCATATACCGAAAAATAACGATAATAGGATTATATTGACTTTCTTAATGAAATTTTTCTTATTACTTTTCAATTAATGTAGTTTTTAATATTCTAGTGTTATCGTTACATTGGTACTTCTGTTTCAACTGATTTTGACATTTGAATTTATTTAAAAATGTCAACGTATTTCAAAATATTTTGTATAAAAAATTCAGTTATAATGGCAATACTTTTATGGCATTTCACTAATACAAGTGCGATAATATGGCTGTACTCAACTTTAATGGCCTCTAATGTCAAAAGCTTATAATATTTCCGTAACATATTGATAATATTAATGATTTACATAAATGTCATCGACAAATATTGATTCTAAATCCAAAAATTTACATATGAAATTTATATAAACTGTCAACAATGTCATAAATAATGCAATAAAAGTCAAACCAATTCTATAACACCATCCTATGAAAAAATTGTAGACGCATTATTAAAAATGTACAGGTGATTCGCTGGTACATTTATCAAAAATTTTAATGCCGAATACTAAAAATGAAGAAAAACAAAGTAGTAACTGTACTCGTGTATGAAAAATGAAATGTACTTGTATTGTTATCCTTTTCTTTTTATTATTTTATTATTATTTACTTAATTTTTTTATTGTCCATTTAAGTTGAGAAGTTTTTCATTTAAATATTTGATGATTTACTTGAACGAACAGTGAACATATTGCGGCAGAAAATTTTCATGCCAAAGAAATTTTTTTTATGTTTTGTTGCCTTTATTGTTCATATGAAATTTTTCTATTTAATTAATAAATTTAAAATTTTTAATAAAATTTTTAAAATATTAATTTTATTAAAAATATGAAGAATTTGTAAAATAACAATTGCACACAAACATATTATATATTATAAGACAACAAATATTATTTATTAATTTTTGATTTTATTTTAAATTTTGCTTTTAGGCAATCATCTATGAAGGGCAAGATAAAAATCCAGAAATGTGTAGAGTTTTATTAACTCATGAAGTGATGTGCAGGTGAGTAAATTTTAAATTTTATAAAAGTTATATTAATATTCACTTTCAAAATTTCTATTTTACATTTTTGAAACAAGCTAGGTGAAATTGTGTTCAAAACTCTTTAATTGACTTTCACATGTCTTAAGATTAAAATATTCGACTAGATTTTTGATTTTTCTAAAGCAAAATATATTTTGATCAAGAAATTCCACTGCTATTTCTTCTAAACTACTTTTTAGGAACAGATTTTTAAATTTAATCTACATGAATATTAAAAAAAAATTATACCACAAAATTACAAACGCATATTCTGTGCGCATGTATACTTCGAGTTCCTAGACCCTTTCTACAAACATATACTACGAGACATACTACGAGTTCCTAGACCCTACGAACATAAGACTGAAATTTTTTATGAGATTTTTTAAAATATAAAATGTTCCTTGGAATCCTTATTTATTTGAATTTTATCAGGTTTCGATATTTAAAATTTAATTATTCAATTACACAATATGATAATAAAGTAGCTGTGTGATTTTTATACAGTACTAACTCACAAAGTACATTAATTAAAAATTCCCCTAAAAGTATGCAATATTTAAATATTACCAAAAAGAGGAAAGTATAATGATATTAGTTACACTAACTATTAATAATCTAATTTTATAAAGCAATTAAAAAACCAAAAATCCAAGACTTTTAAATACCCTTAACTTTTATATTTCATTATAATTTTTCATTGTTAACGAAATACCGAAAAGAAAACCACTACAAAAACCAAAAATTATAAAAGAAAAAACTAGGAATCGAAAAAACAAAAAAGAAAACCAAAACAAAATGTTCAAAATTCCAATTTAATCCAATTAATCCGAATGTTTTTATTTACTCTTAAAATGTTTTTTTAATTATTCGATTCCTTCATCTTATATATAATGAAATGTCTTTTATATTTTGTTATATGTACAACATATATACACAAATATATGTGCATATTTTTACATGAGGAAAAAAGTAACAGTCAACATCCTTGTTGACCATTATTAAGTTGTGTAAGTTGACCATAATATTTATCCTTTATGTTATACTCCATTCTTACACAAGTTTATCTTTCTATATAGTTTACATCTTACATTTAGTTTTGATATACATATTTACATAAAACTTTGTTATTCATAGATATATGAGTATGTTCTTATATTAAGCTTACAGGACTCCGATATATATTATTTTTGTGTATGACAATTTGTGTAAAGGACTTATTAAAGAATATTGTACATATGTTTGTATATCCATATAAGCATAAGAAGTTCCATTCATTATTATTGGTCTTAATTGATCGAATAAACGCTTAGAATTACAAAATAGGATTAAAATCGATTTAATAGGAATAACAGTAAAATAAAAAAGAAAATAAGTAGGTATTTTGTTGGAGAAGACAAAGTTTTCTTAATTTTATTTTCTTTTCGTTTTTTAATTGTGATCGTTCTTCTTATCTACAATATAAGTTTCCTTTTAAATTTATTTTAAGTGAAATTATTTGCCGACATTTTAATTTTATTACTAATATATTAATAAATAATATGTAATTACATATAACATTAATTTGGAATAATTTTTTTCAAAAAGAAAAATAAAAGGACAATCAATTGCGTTGATTTTTAAGAGCATGAATGGCTGCGGCAACGGAAAATTTGCATACAAATAAGAGTATAATTAAAAAATTTATCCCATGTTCACGGAGTGGAAGGGCTACAATGTTGTTATCAGAGTTATATTAGGAAATTATTGTAGCTTTAGTTTTGTTGCTGCTATTGTCCACTAGGATGCTGACATAATTTTGTTTGCTACTATTTTCTATGCTTGAAATATGGTATTCAATATGAATTCAGACAAGTATTTAAGTAAATTGTGAACTTCCCACATTTTTAGAAACTAGAACGCTGCATACTTATTTTATTTCAATTATTTATTTTTTTATTTAAAATAAATTTTATTACTTTATTAAAATCATCACAAACAATCTTTTCTTTGGGAATTTTTTTCAAAAAACTTGAAATTCTTGCATATGGCAAGTGCATTGCAGTTTTCTTCTTTGATTTACGAAAAATAAATTTTCTTTTAAAATAAAAAAGCATGAATGAAAAACGAAATATATTTAAAAATATTCATAAAAAAATTTTATGAAATCCTTTGCCATTTAAATTTATACACACTATCACACTTACATTCATACTTATGTGCGTAATATTTTATTTTTATAAAAACACTGTAACACCCTTATTATCCATTTTCTTCCATTTTTTTTTAAATTTTTTTCGTTCTATTTTAATTTTATGTTTGTTTTTAGTTCATAGATTTTTATATCAGTAATTGGAACGAGGACAACACTAAAAATTTTTTTTTTATCAAAAACCAAATAAAATTATTTGCCAAAAAATGACAAAAGAAAAACGACAAAAAGAATTTATATAACAATGAAAGAACTTTGCAGTAAAGAAGAAAAAAATAACTGTAATATTGAATAACAATATAGTGTAGTAAATACAGACATGGAAAAAAATTAAATTTTTAAGTGGTATTTCATTTAACGGTAGTTGATCTGTCTATGTGACAGTAAGCCTGGCTCAAATTTATAAATAGAAAAGTGCAAAGAGAAATCTAAGCGTTCAGTATTCCATAAAATTCGTCACATTTCGTAAAAGTTCGTAAAATGTTCGTAAGCATAATCATACTTTTCCTAGTACATTTTGGTTCATTAATATTTTATGTCATAACTGTCATTTATGTGGCAGATTAAAGGGTTAAGATGAAACTTCTTAGATGATACCCTAGTATTAAAAAATTTCATAAAAATCAACTTAAACAATTTGATCCATTTTTCTTTTGTTATACAAAACAATTGATATTTCTACCAAATTACAATTCCTTTAAATATTTACTACATAATTTATAGAGTTATAGGGGAATTTAATATTTTAATAATGGCTCACAATTTTTCATTTGCCAACCATCCGAATTGAAAAAAAAATCCCATTTTTATAAATTTTAAAAATCAAAGAAGAACGCCAAATTGTTATTTTTTGAAGAATGGAGGATATTATGAATAAAATTGCATGTGGTGAATTAAGTGGGTATGGCGAAAAAAAAATTGAATGCGGTGAAGACAACTGAATATGGTAATTAAATGGGAAAGTGGCGAAAGTTCTGCAGAAAGTTTAATTTGACGAAGTATGAGGTAAATATAATTAAAAAAATGGGAATATGGTGAAAAAGGTGAACAAGGTGAATAAAAACTAAATAAAAAAATTTGAAGTTGAACCTACTCGACTTATTTGAAAATCATTTCGTTTTTCATATTTTTTTAAAGAATCGACTTTTATATGATCTAATAATTTGTCCAGTTTTTAGTTTTGTCCAGTAAACGATATATTCGTTTAAATATACAAAAATGTTCGTATATATAACATAGATGAGATTTTATATTTTATATATATACTTATATACATTACCTTAAATAAATATTTTTGAAAAAAAAAAAATGAGGGAGTTATTCACCCTCGTCACAATGAGGTATCCTTAACATATAATAAATATATATAAACAAATAATTGTATTATACCTATATATATTAGTTTTATTATATATATACATTTTAGTGAAACGCATTAAAGAATATTGACTTTTTCTCTAACTTCTTAACAATATTACAATATTATTCTTAAAAATATAAATATAGTATACACTCGAATTATATATATAGACGACTAAATGTTATATACGCCAAAAAAAATATCTGAATTTTTCTTTTATTGTTATATGTATTTCTACATGCACTTATATATTATTACATATATTATTTTTTTTTATTTTCATATATACATAAACAAAATATGATTGTATAATAAGAGGGTTTCCAAATTTTTCTTTAACGATATCCATATCACTGTTATATAAAATGTATAAAAAGTATATGTATATTGATATCCATATGATATTGTAGGTATGTCAATATGTATAACTGTCAAAAAATATATAATTTGAGTATATGGTATTGTGTATACAAAGTGTTAGGTATTAATCGTACGTAGCCATATCGTCATTGTTGTCGTTGTCGTTCATTGCCTTATAATATACATTTTAGATTGTTATACAATATATATTATATGTATATTATAATATATGATATACAAAATATTTAAGTATTTACAAACATCCAGAATAAAGGAATATAATCAGACTATAAAGGATGAATTTCTTAAAAAAAAAAAAACTTTATTTTTGTCTTATGCAGAATTCCCTTTTCTTTTAATAGTTTTCTTTTTTCAATTTTTGGTCACATATATAAAAATGTTGAGTCCTTAAAAAATATAAACGCTGTCATATAGATTTTATTATAAATGTGCTTATATATACATATATATATATATATATAACATATTTTAATGTCTAAATATGTTATATATAGGCAATACACAGGGTGCCTGAGAACCGATGTCCTCCCAAAACATTCTAATTAATAGAAAGGAAACAATTAATAGTGGAATTATGTTTTATATAGCGCTTACTGATCAGAATCAAGTTTTCTTTCTTATACGAAAAAACTATTGCAATGAAAATCAAAGTCACAAATTTCAGGAATTTAGTTCGAACTATCCATTATTAAATTATAAAAATAAATTGAAAACTATAGAGGTCTAGGCTTCATTTTAATTCTAATTGTATGGCAAATCTCTCAGGTATAGTAAGAGTCTAAATGAAACGAAAATCTGTGATCAAATTCTATCATCCATAATTTTAGAGTACTACCGAGTCTCTGATACCCTGCATACATGTACATCTTCTGTAAAGGACATAAAATTCACATGTACATTTTATATATTAAACGTGCTTGTTATTCATTTTTTACCATTTCTTATACTTTATAAAATTTTCGTTATTTATAAATTATTTTTGTCTCTTGTTAAAGATTTTTTCCTCAATGAAATGAAAACTTTTTTTCTTACATATTTTTTAATACATATATATATATATATATATATTTAGTGCATACATGTGTATACTTTTATTAATATGTCGGCCGAAGATCCTTTAAAAATTGGAAGAGAAGAAAACAAATCCTTCATTTTTTTTTCTTATTTAATTCTTATTTTTCTTAATGTTCTTATTGTTTGGTTCTGAGATTCCAGTCAAAGGACTATATAAAAAAAATATACATAAAGAAAAATGTTGCGTATTATATGCCTACGTGTGTGTGCGAGTACATTTTTATTTTACAAAAAGGATATAAATAAAAGAAATAATATTAATAATGGCGATGGTCATTTATTTTTTATATTGTATGGACATATAGACTCGTATTATTATTGTGTTCCTACACCAAGATATATTTCTGAAATTTTTTGAGGGTTAAAAAATATATTTGTTATATTATGTGTATGTATAGTTGAATGTTTCTTTAGTAGATTATCCGTAGGCAAATATATGAAAATTTAATAAATTTGTTTTTATAACTTTAATCTGAAAATTAAATTTAAATCTGTACGTAATAGTGATTTGGTCGATTATTATTTGTACAGGTACTTGGCATTTAACTTATTTGTTTACAGTGCGAGGGGCCAAATTATTCAATTGTCCGAAAATTCAAAAAACATCTTCCTTTCTAGAATAAAAACATAAACATTAGTATTATTAGAATAAATCTGAAATTTTACGAAATATTATTTTCCAGCCACCTATTTCTCTTGTACTACAAGTAGCTATATATAAGCTTCATAAAGAAATTATTACCGACAGTTCATTGATTTAGGAATATTTCAATTTTTCAGATAATTTTTAAACAATATTTTAATACTTTGCCACTATAATAATTTTACAATTATTTTTTTATAGTCGATGTTGTGATAAAAAAAGCTGTGGTAACCGAAATGAAACTCCCTCAGATCCTGTCATCATCGATCGGTAAGTAAATAAATTTTTGTTGTTAATTTAAAATTAAATTTTTATATTCTACCTAAGTGCGACAAGTTAATGAGAAAAATATTGGTAAAAGTACAGTTATTAATTCTTAAATAATTAAGATAAGATGTGAATTATGTTGAACTTTGAAATGAATGCAAAATGTGTTATAAAAATTGTCCATGTGTTACAAAAATTGTCCATTTATTCTCTAAGTATAGGAATAACTCAAAAGGTTTCCGGATGCGTGAACTGGTCTTATACAATCGCCCATGTAAAAAACACAGATTTTTCAAATCTAGCCGGGAGACTTGTAATAATTATCGCGCCGGAAATTAAATCAGTCGAAAGAAATATATTCAACACGTTCTCTTTTGAATTCCTTTTTGGAGCCTGAATCTTAACAAAGCTGCTTTCTAAAGATCTCGCAGTTATAGATCTCAGTAATAAATCTCGCCGAATTTTACAACTTACCCTGTATAACAACAATCACCGGCTTTCAATTTTTTCCAAAATATTATTGTTGATACCAGGTGATCCAAGCTGGTTTTATATTTTTATACATAGATGAAATAATTACCATATAGAAATTTCTCGACAGTTTAATAAAAGAAAAGAAGACAGTCTTCTCTTTTCTGTCTGTTGTCTGTTTAGCCACAATTAGTATAATTATATAATAATATGATAAAAATAACATTTTACTCTTTATTAAATGAAAAACAATTATAATTATTTATACAATTTTATCTCATTATCAATAATTTTCAAACTCATATACGAAATAAATAATTTTTTTTAAAATTATTAATATTTTCTGTCTACATTATATATCATATACATATATGTATAAATATTATATAGGATTCTATTTTTTAATTCAATTATACAAAATGCTCAGTCGTTATCCTTATATACCAATGTCCAGAAGTACGTGTACATAATATGTCCACTTTTAATAACATAACATTTAAAATTTCATTATCTAAAAATATTTTTAAATATTTTTTTTTGTATAACTTTTCTAAAAATATTCTTTTAATATCAGTAAAGCCTTTAAAAAACTTTATCGAGGTAAATTTTAATTATTGATAAACAATAATTATTGCATGCAATAAAATTCATTAATTTATTTTATGAAACACAATTGTCGTAATAAAATCATTATAATAAATAAAATACAAAAATAATCATAATTGTAATTACAATAATTTTTATCACTATTAATATTAAAACATATGTTATTTTTTATTAAAAAAAAACACCCTCTATTATATTCATAATGCAACGATATAAAACATAAATTGTATGTGTATGTATATGTATATGGAATTATTAATCTAAAACAGAATCCGCGAAATTAGCTATAATGAAAATCACATGTACCTATATAAAATAAAAGTACATAGGTCATATAATAAAATTACGATAAGTGCATGAAAACTGGCCTCAACTCTTTCTAAAAACAATTATAAAGCCCCTTAATATAATTTTGATTTGTTTTTTGCAGAACTCTTCCATACAATCAAATTCACTGTCCAACGTTATACGATACGTTAATTACCCTTTTTTTGTACAAAAATAAAATTAAAAAAAAAAAAGCAAAACCACAAGTTTATTATAACATTAATAAACTAAAATTTGAATATAAAATTATAATTTTCAATAATCACACATGTTCCAGCAATTCCAACAAATTTTATTAAAATATGTATTTTAATTTTTATCTTTATTTTATAATCAACCATGAAATATGCCTTCATAAATGATAATTCTACGACTATAATTCGGGCTGTATGCATTTTTATATATGTCAGAGCGGCACAGTGTTGTTCCCTTCAAATCTTCTCCCCCATAACTTTCTCTTTCCTTTTTTCGTGAATTCGAAATTTTTTGCAGTAAAGTGTACAAAAAGGCCCATTTGCTCTAATATAATTAAAATAGTTAGCTTCGAAATTTTTGATTTAATTTTCAGAAATTTTTAAAATTAAAATAAAATTTTTAATTGTCATAAATAGCAAAGAAATTTTTCTCGTTGAATATTTTAAATAAAATTCTAATAAAAATTTTAAATAATCAAATTGGATGAGGAAGATCTAGCTGTAAATATTTGGCATTCGCTCATTAATGTGTTCAACATCAAGTATAGCAATAGGAATAGTGATTGAATCGAACGTACATATGTACATACATACATACATACATACAAAGGAATTTAAATTCAATATTATTTGATGATTGTTGGTGATTAAACCTAAGGCTGATTTATTGAAAATGATTATCACGTTCACATGTATCCATGTGTACAATTAAAAATCAAAATGGAAAATGGAAAATAAAAAATTTGAAATTGAAGAAAAAAATATGTATGCACCTAAAATGAGCTGAAAAGTGGGATTTATTGTATGTAAATGCGTAAGGTAAATAGATTTGAAAATATATTTATTGAAAAAGTTGTTAACCCGTACAACTACAGTATAAAATAACTGAAATAAAGGAAAGGGATGGTATGCCTCCCTTTCCTTGCGAATGAGAATCCTATATTTCGTTGGTAGTGTGCTAAGATCTCCTCACAGTTTCGTTGCAGAATCTACAAGATCATATATTCTATAAGTTTTTAGTATTCTAACAAAAAATCGGTTAATTCTCATCTGACTGACCGATGTATTCGCACCCATTCGTTTCCTTTTGTGGAACTATCAAATAATTTGAAGTTCACTTTTATTTATTTTTTGTTTATTCCACAAGATCATATTCGAATTTAGCAACTGGCATAAAGTGACCGTACTACATATAAGTAATTACAAAATTTTTTAAAATTAAATTCAATCTTTTGACAAATCATTTGATTTACTTCAATCTTCATAATTAAATGAGCATATGCACACATGTACTATAGTCCATGCATTCGTATATATGCAATGATTTAATTGAAGAAATTATGCTTTAAATAAAATTTCGCTAAATATAATTCAGAGTATAAATAAATCAATTACAGGAAAGAATATGAAAATTGAAATATTATTCTTTTAATGATTATATAATATTATTATTATGCACAAAATACCATGCATTCATATAAAATTCTAGATTTATAATAATATTATTGAATTCATAAAAAATATCTCTCGTACGCTTCATTTAATTCAATACAACTATACATATTCATAAAGTGCATAAAATTAAAATATAATTTGGAAAATAAAAAGTACACGGTTTCATTTGTATGTATATACGTATGTACTGAATTATTCTATATTATATTGTCCGAAAAAAACGACTTATAAAGGTACAAATTGTGCACAAAAAAAAATTCTTTATGCTGTATAGGTACCTATAATTTTATTTGCACTTAATATAGAAACAGATATTACCAATTTAAATACATACATATATATATATAGAAACGGGTTCTTGTATATTAAATAACACTTACATTTTCCCACTTATAATGTACATTTTATATTTATAATTCACTATACTTAATATATTATATACTTCAATGAAATAACATCACTTACATAATTATACAATAAGAGTATACCGTTATAAATATTACACGCATAATAGAGCAAATATGTAAATAATATTGCTGCATAGCACGTTTTTTCTCTAAACCACATTTCATTAGTTTAGATTGTACAAATTATTTTTTTAATATTTCATATTTGAGAAATTAAAGCCATGCACCAACACTATGTGCATGTACGTACAAATTTTATTCACAAAATTCCACCAACATTTTATTATTATATTTTTTAATAAGAATGGTTATTACTCCCTCTTACACCATACACTAATATTAAAGAATTTGTTAGAAAGAGATAAAAATAATATTAATCAATTTTGCAACATTATGTTACTGCCTTTTTTTTTTTTTGCTTGTTTTTCTTTTTCTATACTTGTTTCAAATAGTAAAACAAAAAAAAAAAATAATAGCAACATTAAAAATACGATGAAATTGAATTCATGTTTATAAAAGTAACTAGGCATATCATAATGGTAACAGTCATCTTTATTCATACAATTTAACGAATATTTTCCCATATATACGTTATATTGTGCATACACTCGTATACAAAAAATTATGCCGCCTATGCAATACTTGAATATTTGATCAAAAAAAAAAAGAAAAAAAAGGCATTTTGTTATACAAATTGCAACTCAATTAGCCTTATAACGTCAAATGAGTTAAATTTAAATAAAACATGACTATATATAGAACAAGTTATAATTTTCTGTACAGTTATTTTTGTTATATATATTGATATAAAATGGTATTTTATTGAATTTATAAATGCATACCAATAGAAATGTTAAATATAGTATACAAGATGTCTCAGTTAAATATAACACGAAAAATTATTACGCAAAATCATGGGATTAGAATTTGAAGTTATAAATACTGATATACTCGTATATGTACTTCTGAACGACTACTACCAATACGGTCATGAAATGCTCTAAATTTAAATTTGAAAAATTAAGTTTGTAACAATTAGCTCAAGTGCAATAATATGTGCTTGTGGAGATTTTAAACATTAAAAATAAAAAAAATTACTTATCAATAGGAGCTCCCAAATATAATATACTAGTAGTCTACACTATAGAATAGAAAATAAGGGAATTGCAATATTCGTAGAAGGCAATAGGACTTGTAGATTCTGAGTTTTTTTGTAAGAAAGTCAAGTTTACGTTTAGTTATGTTTTTTAAAAGGTACTTTAAGTTCAGGCTAATGTTTGCTCAATTTAAAACTTAGACTTGTTTCTTATTCTTTGCTACTGAATTTCTATAAGCCGATAGCATTTTGTTCATTTTTCTGGTTATGAGATCCTTATAAGCTTCTCAAATTGGATGCCTATTCTGTTTTAAATTTTGTAACCTTTCCAAAAGAAAATATTTCAGTATATGTATTCATTGTATTGTGGTATTCTCTGTGTTTATTTATTTATTCAACGATTATAATTCGTATATAGAGGAAACTGAAAACATTTTAACAAAATTA